AGAGAGAGAGAGAGAGAGAGAGAGAGAGAGAGAGAGAGAGAGAGAGATATGAATGGCCAATAGCAAGGCAGGAGCAAGGCTAAGCAGGGCTGGCAGGCAGAGAGAGCATAAACAGGAGGAGAAATATAGAAAAAGAGGGAACAAGATAGAACAAGGAGAGGAGGACATCAGGAGCCATTCACCCAACCAGCCATGGAGTAAGAATGAGAGCAAAATATTCAGAAGAAAAGGAAAAAGCCCAGATGCCAAAGGGTAGTCAGACTAATTTAAGCTAAGAAAAGCTATCTAGAAACAAACTGAGCTAAGGCCGAACATTCATAAGTAAGACCAAGTCTCTGAGTATGTTTATCTGGAGGCTGGGTGGCAGGACCCCCAAAAGAGCTAAGAGTAAAAGAGTGAAAAAACAACCAACCACATTTTGGCTTTCCAATGTGGGGCTAGAATAAAAGAAAACCCACGAACAGGGAAAGGCAAAGCCTCACAGGTGTAGGTACCGTGGCCACCAGGAATCTGCAGACAGGAAAACCTAGCGCTTTTTCTTGGAGACTAGGGCCCTTTTCCTTCCTAAAGCTGTTCTTACAGGTTCCAGGGTTGCATAGGTGGATTGTGCTAAGATACTCAACCAGTAACATCGTGAGTCAAAATGCACCAGTGGCTTGGCTTGAGTTCTAGCCCTGGAAATAATGCTTCAGGCCAAAAGATGAGCTGAACTTGGAACATAGGGCATTCTGGCAGACTTCCGAGATATTTCCCAGGTAAACTCAAGAGTTTTAGAATACTCAGGATTGTAGTGCTTGGAAGACATGAGGAAGAGTACATGCCATATACCAGGAATTAGAAAGCATTATTCTTTACTTTTTGTTTTTCCAGAATTAGTTTTTCTTGTTCCTCATTTTAAAAGAAAAAAATGCTGAGGGACTAATTCAGGAATAGATGCTCAAAAGATTACTGGATGGCAAGAGAAGAAAGAGAGGAGGAGAGGGAGGGAGGAAAGAGGGGCGACCAGGGGGTCAAAATGGGTGGGAGGGAGAGAGGGCTAAGGTAATGGAGAGGAAGGAGATAAAAGAAGAATAAGGAACGGGAAATAGGAAGAAAGAAGAACGCAGAGAATGGATGAAGGAAGCAAAGAGGAGAGGGAGGGGTTGGGAAGAAAGAAGAAAAGAAGATGAATATGGAGAGGGAGAGTCTGGAAGATGAAGAGAGAAAAAGAGAAAAGGGAGAAGAGAGAGGAGGGCAGGAAGATGGAAAGAGACAGAGGCCGGCTCTCTTTAGAGGGATAGCAGTCGTTTTCAGCTTTATCGAAACACAACCTTTCAAGTAAACCAAATCTACTGCAGATAAATGGCGACTGATCAACAGGCTGATCCGTTCGTTTTGAGCCCTGGGATGTGGGCGCTGGAGGCTGGATTTATCTCCCTCCTGGAGGCACTTCTCACACATGCTGCTTAAATCACTGCGTACTGGAGCTGTTTATTTAATTATTTAGCACCGGTGACTGGAGGCCAGATGTTATATAAGCAAAGCCTACCGTCCAGATGCTTACTGTAACAGGGTGTTTGTGCATCACAGGCTCTACTGGGCAGCATTTCCACAGAGCCAGGAGCTTCTTAGTTGTGTAAGGCCCAGTCCACCTCAGGGCTACGCAGCCCCTGACATCCATCTGCTGCTTTGCTGGGGGGAAGGGAAGTAGGGCTCTGTGCAAAGGCACCCGATTCCTTGGGACTCGGTTACTAGTGAACCTCTGGAAATTCTACTCATGGTAATGTGTTTAGGGGCATTTGGGATACTGTCCTCTCAAAAATCCATCTGGATGCCTTTCTCTCAGCCCCAAAGTCAAATGGCCTTTTCTTCTGGAGGTCTAAGAATGCCGCTCTGATCCACACTTTCCCCTTCCACTGTGGGGTAGACAATGCCTCTCTGTTCGTCACGTCTTGAAAACCTACAGAGGGTGCATTGATCACGGCCACTCAACACATGACTGTGCCCATGAGGCCCATGTTCATCAGGGGAGTCATTATCATGAACAACCAATCCTTGTTTCTGTTGCTGGAATTCAAAGCTGCAAACCTAGTGGGCATTTCCCACGGCTGTTAGGAAGAGAACTTCTGTACGAAAAAGAGCCACACATACACAGCCTGTGGACACATCTGGAGCTTGCAGTTGAGTTTGGCTCAAAGACATCAAGCAAAGAGGACAAGGTTTCCCACTACCATTAAAGATCCTTTTTCTAGGAGCTGGGGAGATGGCTCAGATGGTAAAGTGCCTGGTATGCAAGCATTGAGGACCCGACTTTGGATACCCAATTTCCAAGTAAAAGCTGGCGATGCCAGCTGGGTCTATAACCCCACTGCTGGCATGGTGGGGGATGGAGGGTCAGAATAAGCAATATTCCCTAACTAATTGGTCATCCAACTATACTCACATATCACACACACACACACACACACACACACCCTCTGCTCTTGGTTTAAGCTAGCCTTCCTCCCCTATTGAAAAGGGAGCTTCAGATAGTATGACTCTTTGCCCAGATTAAAAACAGCAGTTTATATCCTAAGGCCTATGATTTCCAAAACCGTGGACTCTTGTTTCTGATTACAGTACCAGACATTAAATTCCTTCCTGAGAAACAGGCCCCATCCAAACAGAAAGCAGTTGGTTACCTGCTTGTGCAGCATGCAAGACCATACCACCAAATTGCCTTCTAGAGGTTACTTATCTTATACCCACAGACCACTCTCATGCTTAGTCAGAGAGGCTTCTTTTAGTTATGGGAAGCCATCAGTGGAGAGGTTCACGACTGGCCAGAACATGCTAAAGAAAGACACTGAGGGCTCAACCCTAAATGAGACATCTATATCAGCCCCTCCTCCTCCAAGACTCAGGGATCATTGCAGAAGATGAGGTCGAAGTGAAGTAAGAGCTGGAGCAGAGGGAGGAGTGCTGAGAAATGTCTTCTGGATGCAACAAGGCTGTCACGCTCATGAACCAAGAGATGGTCCCTGCACAAGACTATAGAAGATCAAGCCAGAACAAATACAAGCATAGATGGGGTAAACAAACTCTAGGCCCCACTACTTACTGGGGAACCACAAACCATAGATGCTAGGGAGAGGTTTTTTTTTTTTTGTTTTTTTTTTTTTTTTTTTTTTAAAGATGTGGCCACTGGTAAGTTTTCCATCATCCAGTGAATAGTTCCCTATCTGTGTATGTATGGGTAACACTAGCTGGAATTAGTAGGTTATTAAAATTAAACTGGGTGGGAGTGTGCTAGAGAGAGTTGGAGGGAGGAAATGAGGTGTATATAAACAGACCTCACTGTATATGTGGATGAGATTCTCAAAAATAAACAGAAAAGTTTAAAAGGAGTTTTCTTGGTTGAGCACCAGTTGAAGCAGCTGGCTTGTGTTTAGGGGGTCACATTCTACTAAAAACAGTTTTTCTGCAAAAGCAAGCGTCATGGCACTTGGAAAGTTAAACATGTGAATAGTTTTGGTAGAATCAGAGGTTACAAGCTGGATTTTCTTTCTTTACACAGCAGGGTCATGTGGGTCTCACAGGACAGGATAGTCTGCTTTGCCTAGGTACTCAGATGGATCAGTTTTTCTTTCTCTTACCTGTCACCAGCCGAGTCAGCACTTTTGTCTGGTCGTTGAGAATGTTCACTGTCACATTCCTGGCAGATTTGAAGTAGAGGGCATTACCCTGTAATAAGAAAACGGAAGACGCATATGAAGGTGGCAGGTCACTACAGTCAAGGGACTGCGATCCCAGTTCTTCCAGGGCTGACCTGGTTCTAGACAAGTTCTGACTGATACATCTTTATTTTAGAAGTCCTGGTTACTTAATGATATGTGGTGATGGGCATGCAGTTAACACAGATTTCCTCTAAAGAGAGAGACCTCCAACACATATGTACACACACACACATACACACATACACACACACACACACACACACACACACACACACACACACACACGCACACACAGATGCCGGAAGAAAAGACCTGTATTTTGAGCTCTGTATTTTGTTTACAGCCATCTTAAGTTCACAGTAAGATATTCACCTTTGCAGGGCAAGTTCAGGACCTAGGACATTAGCCTAGTGAGACTTGCAGGCACCAGGCTTTTAGAAAACCTTAACATTTTCCTTTGTTAATCAGCCTCAATATTTACTTATCAGCTAGGGATGTCTCCGGACCTGAATTCCAGCAGACCTGGAGTTTCCTGACACCCTTCCCTCCCCCCCGTTTGCTCATTTGCTATATCACAGCCTCTGAGAAAATAATAAAGGAGACGGCTTGATCAGAAATCCTGTCATTTCTCGTGTCTCTTACCCCTCCATTCCTCTCCCCTAGGTTTATCAGGGACCACCGTTCACATCCCGCTGGCCGGGATACACAGACACTTGGGCCCACATGCACATATATACACACCCATACATGCAGACACACAATTGAATAAGAAAGAGCTGAGATCTACAGGTTTTTTTTATTTTGCTTTGCTTTTTGTTTTGTTTTTTGTTTCTTAGAGCTAGTCTTGTAGCACAGGAGCAACTGATTACCTTCCAGCCATGTCCCTTCTGGATTCCAGTTTCTCCAGAGGAATCACGCAGCTCCCAAAGAGAAGAGCAGAAAGGTGGGGTGAACACCTTCCTGTCAAGAGAATCCTCTGTGTAAATGCTGCCGGCACAAACATGAAGAACCTGGGAGAGATCCTGACGGGGAGACCCGGACAGACAGCTGAACCGGGCTCTTGGGAGCTCAGGGACTCTAGACCGACAGCTGGGGAGCCTATATGGGAACAACTGCATGTGGGTGACCGTTGTGTAGCTTTGTCTGTTTGGAGGGTCCCTAACAGTGGGACCAGAATGTGTCCCTGATGCTTGAGCTGTCTTTTTAGAACCCATTCTCTGAGGTCGAATGCCTTATTCAGCCTTGACACAGTGGGGAGGAGCTTGATCCTTCCTCAACTTGATATGCCATGCTTTGTTGGCTCCCCATGGGAGGCCTTACCTTTTGTGTGGAGTAGATTGGCAGTGGTGGTGGTGGTGGTGGGGGAAGGAGGCCTTTGTGAGGAGTGATATGTAGGGGGAGAGGTGATGGGAGGGAACAGAAAAAACGGGGAGGGAAAACTGTAGTTGGTATGTAAAATAAGCAAAATATTTATTTATTTATTTATTTTAAATGGGGTGGGGGAGAAGAGCTCGGAAGGGATGACATCCTCAGGTAAATCTCTGCCTGCCCATTTATCCGTTCTCCTTCCTGGGGCTCTTTTCCTCCAAATACTCTGGGCCACCTTTATCATGTTGAACTCCACATCTCTCTTCCACACTGTGCTTCCTTCCTCCTTTAGAACAAAATACAGAACAGGACACAGCAAACTGTTATGAAAAGCCTGCTCCTACACCTTGTGGGATATGTGATCTCTGCTGACCCTCCTCTCCTCTGCCATCTTAGTTCACAGTCTGTCTTCAGTGGGTGCACCAGGAGCCATGGCTGTATGCCAAGAAAATGTCACCATGGTAGCAATCTTTGGATGTTATATCGTTTTCATTTTACATTTAAAATCCTATACAAACTTAATGTGTCATAAAGTATGATGTTCTTCTGTCCTTCTCAGTCATTTAAAATGTAAAAAAAAAACAAATAAAAACTAATAAGGAAGCCAACCACAACCACAACAACAACAAAAACTCAAACAACAACAACAAAAAATCTGTTGTGTTTTTTTTTTTTAACATAAGCACTATAAAACCATTACTTGTCAATTTCTGGTTTAGAAATTTTCCTTTTTAATAATACCTGCTGGTGGCATCAGTTGTTTGTTACTGGAAAAATTAAAAAGAACTTAGCAGTGAGTTTTGTCTAAATCTGTCACTGAATGGTATGTGCCTCCCGCAAAATTCGTTACTACAGCAATGTAACAAACAAATCTGCCCAAATGTCATTTTTAAAAAAAAAAAACTATTTTGTAAGACAGACAAACTGAGTCTGTGCCTCAAAAACCTGGATTTGTTGTTGTTTTGTTTTGTTTTAACATGGGGCTTCTTTGTGTAGTCCAGGCTGTCCTGGAACTAACTCTGTAGTCCAGGCTGGCCTTGAACTCTGAGATTCACCTCCTTTTGCTTCCCCAGTACTAGGATTAAAGGAGTGTGCCACCACCGCCTGGCCAAACTCCTGCTTTCTAATGGATGCAAATTTACTAGAGGACTATGGGAGTGATTTGGGTACACAAAATGTTTGAGGGACCTTCCTGATGCGTGGGAGTAATTGTAACTTTGGGCTGAGCAGTGAAAGGCACGCCAGACCTCCTGGAGTAGCAGGCATTTAGGAAGACACTCAGAAGGAACACAGGCATGGCTTTAGCATGTTGAAAAGAAAAATGAATGTCAGGTAGGTAGTGTGGGTTGGGTGTCCAATATATTTTTCCTTGTGTGCTTTGTGAGGATAGGGACTGATCACCAAGCCCAGCCTAATACCTGCTTATGACAGAGCAAAAGAACATACAAGTGACAGCCAGAACCAAGGGCGGAGGTAGGTTTCTCACTTGGAATAGAGGGGAGGGCCTGGCAGCCAACTGACACCCACAACCTGGACTCACAGTGTTTCTCACCCAAGGCAAATTGCTAAAACGGATTGTTAAACCCCATGACCTTTAGGCCATAAGGAAACAGGTAACCTTGGATGTGAGCTATGGATTAGTTAGTGTCTGGGGTAGAGAGGATGACTCCTAATTCATCAAGTAACATGGAATCAGTGTCATCTCCACAGTGGCTTAAAGCTTAAACATCCTCCTGATGCAGAAAGGTCCTTATCTTTAACTTGGTTTAATTCAGTCAAAAGCACATAGAGCACACACACACACACACCTCTCTCTCTCTCTCTCTCTCTCTCTCTCTATATATATATATATATATATATATGTATACACACACATCTCTCTCTCTCTATATATATATATATTATATATAGTATATATATATTCTACAAGGAAACAAATATTAGACTAAAATAGTTTTTCCACTGCCTCTAGTAGCACTGATTAGCTCTATTTAGATCTCAAAAACATTGAAATGAAGTCCGAGTTTGGAGAACTGGAACCAGGACAGGGGGTTACAATTCCAGAAGTAAATGCTCTAAATTAGTTCTTCACACGTTTGTCAAACTGGCTCTATAGAGAAAAGAGGGGCCTGGGACCAGGAAACTAGGTACCCTGACTACCATGTGACCTTGAGAGCATTTGTTGTAGCCATGGCATTCTCTGCCATCAATACATGTCACTAAGAAGCTCATTGCTACCACGGTTGAGCACTTACTTGTACTGGATATTCAGTAGGAGACCCGAAAAGCAGCTAATTCCCCATCTTTGCTCTACCACTTGCATACAAGTTGTGACATTGATAAATAATTATTCCAAGCCTTGGTCTCTTTACATGACAATAGAAAAATTCATTATTAAACTTTTAAGCATCCTTATAATAAAAATAATTAACTTATACATATAATTGTTAAAATAGACATGGTCTGGTGTCAGGCATAGATTCAGCCCTCAGTAATTATCAGGGCAAGAAGCAGAGGAGAAAAAGGGGTCATAAAGGGGAGAAGAGGAAGGAAGGAGGGAGGAGAAGGAAGAGGAATGAAGAAGGGGAAGGAGGTGGGATGGAGGAAGGGGGGAGGAAGTGAGGAAGACATCCCCATTGCGTCTCTGGCTTTTCTCAGCTACCTGTACAATGATTTATGAGTCTCCTCCACTTCTAGCATTTTCAGTCTCAACATTTCAAAGAGTCTCCCTTTCTCTATCCATGCCATCAACTTAACCACTGTCTTTCAAATCCCAGCATCTTCAATCACTACGTGGCTGTTCTTGCTGATAGACAAACCATTCTGCCATGAACAGTACCTCATAACAGCTTTGTTCAAGATTTTACAGTAAGAGAGATTATACAACCACTCTCTTTCTTCATGTTTTACTTATTTATTTTAATTTTTATTAGACTATTTTTGAAATGAAAATATAATTTCACAAATTCTCCTTTTCCTTTAATTCCTTCAAGACCTCCCATGTACCATGTCCCCAAATTCACGGCCTCTGACCTTTCTCTTTAATTGTGATACACACACATACACATATATACTCCTACATACACAGATAGAAATACAACCTGCTGAGTCTACATTCATGTTACACACAGAGACACACACACACACACACACACACACACACACACACACGAGATTCCAGGGCTGTTCATTTGGTATTGAATAACCTATTTCAGGATTCTTTCCTGAGGAAGACTTTTGGTCTTCTCTCAGCATTCTTTAGTTGCCTATAGTTCTATAGTGTTAGGGCTCTATGATTTATTAGTTCACATGTGTCTGTGTGCATGTGTGTGCATACATGGCAGTCGGAGAACAACTTGCAGAAGTCAGTTCTTTCTCCAGCATGTAGCTTCCAAGGATCTAATGAGGTGGTCAGGCTTGGTGGCAAGCACCTTTACAGGATGAGTCATCTTGCTTGCCTGTTTCTTTTGATCAACCAAGCAAAATAGTATACATCAGTATTAATTGTTCTAATACGCTAGCACACTGTGATATTGAATCTTTGCTACATCAGAGTTTCAACAGTGAGTGTCATTCTTGCCCAGTACTTTTGATATAATTTTACTTGTAATAGAAAGATTATCGAGGAAAGGACATGAG